AATCCAGACAATATGTGTGGATCACATCAAAATCCAAATCCATTATTTTCTATAGGACTTGTTCCTGCTACTATAGTGCATGCAATATTGTTGTTTAACACTTGTGTCTCCATGCAAATAGATTGAATAAAATCCTTCGAAAATGTACCAAAATTTGGGGAAAAGTATATGGCAATGGATGTTAACATTTCAATATGCATTATGTTATATGGTATGATAAATATTTAATAAAATTTCTCAAACCAATTACCAATATTAATAATAAGATATGGGTGTAGTGCTAAAAGATAATGAATATAAATAAAAATATATAAAACTAATATATGATTTGCTAGCACAAAAACAACCTGTGTGCATAAATTATAATAAATGTCCGCTGATAAAGTTAAAATATCAATAAGAATAGATAAATAAATAAATCCCAGGATAATAAAAAGAGAATCAGCAGCAGATTGACTTGTGACTCCAACCAATAGTTAAAGTGCGCACTCACCAGAAGCGCATGGATATTGCGCATGTAATATAATAAACCCCCAAGGTATCTGTAGATGGGCAGGATAGGTGAATTTTTCCTCTATGGTGTAGTAATCAAGTCGTAGGGAATAACAAAAAAATCTGCTGGATCCAGAGGTCCCCTTAAGGATGGATTAGTTGCTCAGCCTGAGTACAGGGCTCCTTTTCCTCTGGTCACACTTGTATCTCTGGGGTAACCAGCAGGCTTAATAGCTTCATAAAGGAGCCACAAAACAGGTGCCCATAGTGTAGTATGTTCAGTAAACTTTATTGAAATGACAATAAATAAAGCAGGGTATAGTAACATCCATAAATAGCAGGAATGTAAATCACTAACCCTGAGTTAAGATGGCCGCCAGGCTTGCTCCTAGCTCAGTGATGTCACGTGCTGTCTGGTTCCTCCTGAGGCCTTTCGTGCAATGGCACTTCATCAGAGGGAGAAACAACAGACGTGACTGGTTGATTGCATATATATAGGCGAAATGGCGCATGCGGACTACGCCGCCGCCATTTTGTCGGAGTTTGACGCAGTGTGTATGCGCGACTCCAGATCCGCCATTTTGCCGTGGATTGAGTGGTACATTGTATAGCTGTGCATGGAGACTGCTATTTAAGCAGTGAACGATCGTTCTGTAAGGAAAGACCGCTCGTGTCAGCATAGGGGAATGTAGCTGATGACCAGTACTCAGATTGTGGGGAAAAAAGAAAGAAAGAAACTCCCCAATTAAAAGAAATATAAATAAGGATGTAAGACTAAAACCCTTAAATATTTCTATAATACTAATTAGTGGTGATAATAAATATCATAAATAAGCATGGCAAAATGTGTATACTAATAAAAACTGCCCCATATATAATAAGTAATTATAAGCATGAATAAAAAAATTGTGAATCCATAGCATGCTATTAAATATGATCAGTATAAAAACAATTAATTGCTTAAAAACATATTGCTTAAAAAATTATGTATAAGAACACATCAGCTGTTTTTAGGAGTGCTCACTATCTTCCTTATTATACAATTACCAATATTATTTTTTGCCAAAAAAATAACTAAACCCTCATTTATTTTTTTTAATATGTGTAGATAATTAAAAAAAAACAACCTTTTTATACATGTTTTAATGCACTAAATCTATGCTCTGTGAGCAGCTCAGGGGCCTCCTAATCTTCTTTCCTTAATTGCATTGTACAGCATTGTGAAAATTGTTGGCATAAAAGAAATGCTGTATTATAATGATATATACTGTAATAAATAAATACTGTATGCTAATAATAATAATAATAATAGAACATTCAATGTATGTACCCATGTCACGAAGGCCTGAGCTATCAACTACAAGCCAAGGGGACATAGCTTAGCAAAGAGACCGCGCATGCAGATCTCTGCAAGATGGCACACTATCACTGCTTTGGCAGGCATTGTGGGGAAGCAATGTTGGATTTTCTGCCAATTGATCTGCCACTTAATGTTGGCGGGAGTTCGGGATCCTGCACAGAAGCACTGTAGTTCAGCTATCCCACTGCAGTGAGGCATAAGGCTTCATGCACCTCCACCACCCCTGCCACATCTGAATTTACCACAGTGTCTCCAGGGCTGGGTCTGGAGACTGCTGGACATGTTTGAGACAGAGGAAGGAGGATTGGCACAGGGGAGCCAGACCTGCCTGCAATTTCCTTAAAGAAAAAGGCTGTGCTGGAGATTGTACCCTATCATGTGACTGTTCTTTGAACTAATTGGCAACTCTACCTGGTTCATCTGTGTTCTAAACAAAAACCAAAATAGGTAGATAAGATCATGCATGGCTTATGGTATTACATTATTTAGGATGCCATGGTTTAAGTTTATTTTATGGACTGCCAGAAAGGTCCAATATACCAGGGGAAATCTATCAGGCATTTACCATCATGCAGTGTAATCTCATGAATCTGACTCATAATATGGAATAATATGTTTTATTTGTATAAAAATGAAAGATGCACTTACCCTGCTAATATGTGAAATCTTGTATATCAACTAGTGCAAAATCATAAAAATATTAAAATTCATATATCAATTATTGCAAATATACAGTGCCAATATACTTAAATGCCATTTTAGTCCAAATCAAAGTGCAGCAGTGGCGAAATTAAAGTGCAAACACATGTGCTATAATTCTTCCTAAACTTAAATGATCAATGCTCTGTGCAAATCCACTCCAGACACCTCCAGTCTGTGTGACCACCCTTGTGCTCTGCAGGGACTAAACTCACCAGAGGTTGTTAACCCCCTAAGCCTGCATGGAGCTCTAATTGCTTTATTTTAAGAAGAATTTTAGCACATTTGTTTGCACTTCAATGTTGGCACTACAGCATTTTCACTTGGACTGATTTTTAATATCTACTAGTTGACATACAGGATTTCACATAGCAGGGTGAGCACAGCTTTAATTGTTATACATCTGTTATATGGCATGCAGTAGGCATACACCATTAGAGCATCAGATACCCTGGGATCCTTTTCACAATTTTTTTTTTCACTAGTCATCATTTGAGGTTAAAGTGGTAGTAAACCTGAAAAAAAAAAAAATGATCCTGCAAGGTTATAATATGCATTACATACTAGCACATTATGACAGATTTACCTAAGAATGAAGCCCTCCAGAGTTGCGCTGTCACCATTGCAGAAACTTCCATCTTCACCCAGTCTTCCTTCCTGGTTCCTGGGCTGCGGCCACTTGAATGGCTGAAGACACGATTACGTCACTACATCCACGGCACACAGCTCTGAAGGAATGACACGGGTATGCCGTTCCTTCAGAGTGCATGCGCTGGTGATGTCACTGGCTGCCACTCACCAGAATATCTCCTAAAATGTGCACATTTAGGAGATATTCATTTTACCTACAGGTAACCTTTATTATAAGGTTACCTGCAGATAAAAGAATACAAATTGGGTTTACTACCACTTTAATATTCTATTTATTGGAGTGTTACTTGGTATACATGATTTATCATTGAGACACACTTTCACTCAATTTTTGTTATTCACAATATATTTTTTATTTGTTCAGTGTGTTTTCTTTCAATGAGAACATAGACACCAAACATCAAATGCTACAAAATGTTGGGCTAAAGTTTCACTTTAAATTATTACATAAAACTATGATCATATTGCCGACAAAATTATTTTATTTGTTAAATAGCCTTTCCTTTGCATTATCACTTTACCCAGATTACAACTATGGATATTTGCTAGTTGACATTCACCACTAAAAACCTAATAACCTGAAACAGCTCTGTAGGAGTAGCTCTACGTATTACCTAAAAGGGGTTCTATTAGAATCAAAATATGGAAGAAACTTTGCAAACTTGTTTATGAAGCTCCAAGCTTTGGGGCCATCATTCTAAGTCCCCCATGACTACTTAGTCAGTCACTACCATGTACATTTATTCCAGGTCAGTGATTGCCCCAAAAGTGAAAGGAGGTTGGAAATCTTAGCACCTACAAAACAGTTCAGCAGCTACTAAATTTAAATCCTTTAAAATAATTAATTTATATTTAAGTGATGAAAAATATTTACATAATTTTACATATGAATCATTAAAGTATTAATTGTATGCCAGGTTTGATTACCAGTGATTAAAGTAATGATTATTTAAAATACAGATATTTTTTTAATTCACAACAAGCTATAGAAAACCTCATTTTTAATCCTAGATATGCCGTTTCATTTCCGTACAATTAATGACTAAATAATATGTTATTTATATTTGATCTTGATTTGTAAAACCTATTGACATTTGTTCAGGCATACTTAATAAATAGCAAACTATGCTTTTCAAATTACATTAAATTAATTAAATTGAATTCAGAAATAAAATTGATATACTGTGTCTTAATTTGGTAATTTAGTAAGCTGAATAACTGACAACAAAAGCATATGTAACTAAACAAACAGGCATATAATTTTACTTTTTGCCTTATGCAAAACATCATTGAGACTGTATGCACCCCTGCTTGAAATTGCTAGTGAAGTCATTCAAACTTTAAAGTTACATTTTAGAATACCTCCTCAATCAATTATGCACATTCTGAACTTGTAACATAAGTGCAGATTTTTTTTATATTATTTTTTTGCTATTGGTTTTCATCTTCTGTCTAGCTGAAAAAGACGCTGACAGTAATCAACTCAGAGGGTTTTATTTACTAAAGGAATAGAGACTGTTCACTTTGCAAAGTGAATGTATTATGAGGTTTCCCTTGCACATGATTGGGTATTTAAAGTAAACAAAGCCTCAGTTTATTTAGTTTAGTGAACAAATTAGCTTTGTTAAGTTAATAGTCTCTAACCCTTTAGTAAATCAACCCCAGAGTGCATTATATTTTACAGGGTAAACATATTGAGGTTGATGTCGTTTTTCTACACCTGCCACTCCAATTCTAAACTCTGCCACTGGCATTTTAATGACACTTTCAATCAAACAGGGCAGTTCAATGGAAAAGTATATGGGGGCGGACTGACAACTCATGGGGCCCCCGGGCAATAGGGGATCATGGGGCCCCTGTGTCCTTGCCCAAACTCAAAAAAGCCTATGAAAAAGGTACCAGGGGCATCTCATGGGGCCCCCTACTGACCCGGGGCCCTCGAGCAGTACCCAGTTTCCAAATGGTCAGTCCGCCCCTGGGTGCAGCACTAAACACATTTAAACATCAAAAAATGACATATTATTAGCAGTGAAAAAAAAGACCTTGATGCAAATAAAAAAAATATTATACAGAACTAAATTCACAAGAAAAATGTGAATGTGAAAAAACGACGAACAAATATGATACCAAATATGATAAGTAATCCATAGATCAGTTTGTATAATAAGTTCACCAATTCCTGAACATATGGTGCAAAAATTCCTCCTTAACATTATTTAAAATGTGTGATTTACACTGAAAATCCACTGTGCCAAAAGCACCACCAGCACTCCACACTCACCAGAACTGCCAAAAGTTAGAAAGCAGCAAGAGCGATGTGATACAATCACTCAGGTGGCAACAGCTCTCTCATGTAAGGGAAGTTGAGGCAGTGACGTCATCATGCACGTGTGAGCCAGCGGGTCCCCTGGCTGCTCTATGGTTTTTAAAATACCACTTGAATCTTCTGATTTTTGTAAGTGTTATTACTTTTAAATAAATCTTAAAAAGTCTGTACATGTTGCTCTGTGAGACTTCCCTGTGACGAGCTGAGACTAGCCCTGTGAAGGCAACATAGCTGCTGTATCTGGCCAAGGGAGTCACCTGGGGACAGAAAATGTCGGTAGTGAGAGTGCTGGCATTGTCATCTTAAATTGCCCCAAGTGCTATTAATCTCTGACTAATCTGAGATCATTATGATCTGATAAGAGGCTTTTGTTTTGTGGTGGAATACGCACAAGCACTGGAGCCCTTACTGTATTTGGCATATGAGCACCCTGCACTTTTTCAGGAGAACTTGGATGGACTTTATATAAAATAAACCATTTTTATACATTGGCTGATACAATAATTGCACATTTACGTGTTGTACACTATTGTGGAGTAGAAAAGATGCATTACCATACACTTTTTTGCACATTAATGCAGTTGGTTAAAGTTTTACTAAACCCACAACAATAAAATCAGCCTGTATATGCAGTAAAGCATGCTTATTATACTCACTGTGGAACCTAAGGGGTTAATCCTCTGCATTGCGTAAAAAGGCGGTTTGATCCTTTCTTCTCTGTTCCTCCCCCTTTTCAAGCGACCACCTCTTATCTCCAGACTGACCCATAGGCATGTACATGCTCAGTTTAGTGTGTATTGCTAGAGAGGGGTTTTTTTTTTTTTTGGGAGAGTGCATGTGATCAGCATAGGGCCGATCAGCACTGTCCAGACAGAGGTCAGGGGCCTTGCATCCTCCTAGAGCAGCAAGAAAACTCCTCCTATGAGCTTTAGCTAGTGCTGTGCTGCACACTGATAGAAGTCACAAGACTACTCTGATAATAAAAGGTATTTAGCAGTTTATATTTACTTATATTTATAGTGAATGCAGGGGCCTAGGTTTAGTAACACTTTAATGTTGAGATTTAAATGCACTATATTTTGTATTTTATTTTATGTTTCTTTTTGTTTAGTTTGCACATATCTGTTCTTTTGCACAGTTTATATGGTAACTTTTTTATCACATGCGTTATTAGTGATTAGGCACTGGTGTTTTAAAAAGACAGCGCACTTGTTTATATTTTTATTTGCACATTTTAGAATCTAATATTCAGGGTTCCCAAGTGCAGCAGTCTGATTTTGTATAGGGTTCAACACAAGGGTTCTTTATTATTATATTACCCATCCATATTTACCCAACAAATGCTTACCTCCCTGCAAGCAAACTACCCATATCAATGGTGCCAACACTCTCCTAAATATATGGGAACTGATATCACAGCAGACTATCATTGTCTATATGAAAGCAACTTCCCACCACTGGTTCATTTGATTCTTCAATTACCAAGGCAATGGAATTCTTATAATATCTCTTTGCTGGGTAGTATAAATGTCTCTTCAAGATGTCTATTTTGTCTACGCTACTGTACTTCTTTGGAACACCCTTCTGTCCCAATTCTTATGGCCAAATTGTGTACTATCACTTTCTCTGCCATGTTCGAATTTGACAAATATCTTATACATCCCAATCCCTGGGGGTGAACACTACCCTGGGCTCAAGTAGCTATTTTTCAATTATGACACCTTATCAATCACGTCTCTCACAGAATTTGCACTTTTGAGGAGCTGCAAGCCAATAAACTTATCCCTAAAGATCTCTTCTATGTGTATGTACAATTCAGGCATTATTTAGCTTCTTTACACCCTTCTACGGTTTTGAATTGGATTTCCGGTAATGGGATATTTTGTAAGGATAAAATATTTTTGTATCCGTTCAACATATATACATTACAATTGGGATGCACCAATACCATTTTTTAACACCAAGTTTGAGTATCAATACTTTTTTTTAAAGTACTCGCCAATACCAATTACCGATACCTATCGCCTATGAAGAATAGGTAAAAGGGGTGGTGCGATACATGAAAACATGCGATTTTGCACATTACTGCACTGCGCTTGGTGTAAACAAGCCCTAAAATGTGAGGCAGAGTCCGGTTGTCTGTATGTTGTAAAGCCCCCTTCCCCCCAAATCCCCTTTCTTAGCGCAAATCCCCCATCCCCCTTCCTAGCACAACCCCTCTAAATCCCCCCTCCCAGCACAACCCTTCTCACCCAAATCACCCTGCCAACATGAACCCCCCAAATCCCCCCTCCTAGCACAACCCCCCTAAATCCCCCCTCATAGCACATTCCCCCTCCTTGCACAACCTCCCCTCCTAACAAAACCCCCCTAAATTCCCCCTCCTAGCACAACCCCCCCTAATGCCCGCTCCTAGCACAACCCACCCCCCCCAAATCTCCCACATATTATGTCCTTAGTATAGTGACAGCAGCAGGGAGGGGAAATGAGCCAAGAGAGCCATGAGTAATGCTCTCTCTCTCCCCCTAGCTACTCTGCGTGATCCTCGATCCTGTTAGCTCCTAGCCCCAGGGCTATGTGAGGCAGAGAGCACTGTAATGTCTTGCCGAGATACAGACAGCCTGCACCTCCCCTGCTCTCTGCTCCTCTCTTTAATCTTACCAGCAAAACAGAAAGCCGAGCTGGCTGCCTGACTGCATCCTACCAACAGAGGACTTGTTGGCAAGAGTACAAAGAGGAGCAGGGGAGGTGCGTGCTTTCTGCATCTTGCACGAGTACTGATACTCGTACAAATGCTCAGTATTGGCACCAATAAGCAGGCACAGGTATGTATATATATTACGACAGTGTGATAAGGTCTTAACCTTATGACTTGCAATATAGAGTCCATGGAATAATTTGGGCTAGGGAAATAGAAGACTTTTACAAGCAGTTCACCTCTTTTAGTGGAGGTCTTATCTCTTATTTATTTTCCCAGCCTTGAGACAATGGTGAGCCACTGGACAAACAGACTTGTTAAGTGTTGTGTCTGCAAATGACACAATCCATAGAATTCTCCCTATACATGGGTCCCTTTCTCATCTAGCTGGTAAAAAAAACATTTGTTGGTTTGTAAATATAGTTTCAAGGTGATAAGGTGATCCTCTCCCAAGCTTCAGGTGTTTGCAGGTAACAGAAACCCCATTGTCCAGAGAATTTATTCCCTAAGCAAGCTTCTTGAGCTGACACCCCTCAGCAGTTTATCTACCTTGGGCTGGGTTAACGTTAATAAGAATATGTCTCTAGTGTGGTTAGAAATCTCCTATAGTCCAAAATTAAAATGATCAAATATATATGTATATATACTGCTCAAAAAAATTAATGGTACACTCTGAAAACGCATCAGATCTTAATGGGGAAAAAATAGCATGCTGGATATCTATACTGATATTAACTGGTTAATATATTAGGAACGTAAGGATACCCCATCATTTTCCAATTCCAATGACACATGGAAAATCATCCCGATACCTAATGGCAGTCAGGGTGCCATTGTCTAGGCTGTAGAAGTCTGTGAGTTCCTCCATGGATATGCCTCCCCAGATTATCATTGACCCATTCATGCTGAACGATGTTACAGACAGCATAACATTCTCCACGGCTTCTCCAGATCCTTTCACATCTGTCACATGTGCTCAGGGTGAACCTGCTCTCATCTGTGAAAAGCACAGGGCACCAGTGGCAAATACCAATCAAGCTCTATGGTGCTGGGCAGTGAGCACAGGGCCCACTAGAGGACGTCGGTCCCTCAGGCCACCCTCATGAAGTCTGTTTTTGATTGCTTGGTCAGAGACATTCACTCCAGTGGCTTGCTGGAGGTAATTTTGTAGGGCTCTGGAAGTGCTCATCCTTGCACAAAGGAGCAGATACTAGTCCTGATGACGGGTTAAAGACCTTCTATGGCCCTGTCCAGCTCTCCTAGAGTAAATGCCTGTCTCCTGGAATCTGTTCCATGCTCTTGAGACTGTGCAGGGAGACACAGCAAACACTCTGGCAATGGCATGTATTGATGTGCCATCCTTGAGGAGTTGGACTGCCTGTGCAACTTCTGTAGGGTCCAGGTATCGCCTTATGCTACCAGTAGTGACACTGACCCTAGCCAAATGCAAAACTAGTGAAAAACAGTCAGAAAAGATGAAAAGAGAAAAAAAGTCAGTGGCCTCCACCTGTAAAACCATTCCTGTTTTGGGGTTCATCTCATTCTTGCCCTTTTAGTGCACCTGTTGTTAATTTCATTAACACCAAAGCAGCTGAAACTGATTAACAACCCCCTCTGCTACTTAACTGACCAGATCAATATCCCAGGAGTTTAATTGACTTGATCTTTTGATCATGAGTTTAATTTACTTGATCTTTTGATCATCCTTATCTTGAGCTTGTTCTTTTGAAAAACAGCAGACGTATTGGCTGAATCACCTAATGAAAATAGAAGAAAGAAAGGCTAAAAAAGAAATGAATGCAGCCATCACATCTAATAAATAGTAAGCTGTAATATAATAAATGTTTGCTTTGGGTTTAGTACAACTTTAAGTAAAGATTTTAGTGGTTGATAGGAAATGTATACAGCATAAATGATTGATTTTGCAGAACTGTGAGCCTGCAGGAGGATTTGTAGATTGGTGTACTGTGTTGATACTTTGGACTGTCATGCTCTAGTATTCTGCACTTGGAAAAATGCAGGCTGTTGAATCCCATATGTCGGACCACCTCCCACACTAAAAAAGACTGTCATTGCAAACAACGAATAGAGCCCTTGAAACTTTCACCCTTTCTGGAAAGGAGAAATACTATCTGTCATAGCTTTATTGAGTCTCTATATTTCTGTCTATCTATCCATTAACTATGTCTGTCAAAATCTTATGAACCATATAAAGGCGGTATAACAAATAGTCGATAAAATAGACGCAGACCACGATTTATGCAATTTCACTGTTTATCAATTGAAAACTTTCAACTGATAACATAAAGCTTTCAGAGGGCTATTTATTGCCACTTTAGAACCTGATAAATTAACCTTAAAACCAACTAATGTTGCATCAGGTGTGGATCCACAGTCACTTTATTTTGCTAAACTCTTTGGAGAATGCATAAAAGGAAAATAATATTACATTCACTCAGACCAGGAGCTTCTGATATCAGTAAAGTAAAGGAATGATCTTAGAACATTACCACAAATTACCTTGCCAAATCTTACAGCTCCATTTATGGATAGAACAGCAAGCAAATCAAAAAGCAATTGCATGATTAATGAGCTGTGCTTTGAAATGCTACAAAAGCTGTCTGTTAGTCTTGTGTGAAGTAAAATATATTACATTTTGTATTTCTTTTTCAGATTTTGATATGTGTACCTCAGGGTACGAATAAATTAGCGTTCAATTGGAAACAATTTGGATTTGGAACTGAATCTCCTGTAGGGTAATGCTCTTAAATGCTCTAAAATGTTCCACTTATTACAACTATCTCTTTTAAATTTACTTGCATTTTTTAAGATTTTTACTTTTATCTGTTATGTTCTTCACTCTTCATCTTAAAACCAAACTGCATCTCAAACTTTTGCAATTTTTTTTTTTTCCGCTGACTGCATCCTCATTGGGAAGATTTCCACTTACATCCTGTCTCTGTGACACCCATACAAGAAATAGTGGATGGTGCTAGCTCTAAAACAGTAAGCAGAGAAGGCAATAAAACATTTTCTAAAATTCTATCCATATTAAGATTTAATTAACTATTTGTCAGTTGCCTGCACCAGGTTTATCCTATTTTAAAGTGGTTGTAAATCTGAGACATGAAATATGAACAAAGCACATCCTTCCATAGTGTGTACTTCTCTCAGTCCAGAGCATTAAGTGCCATTTCTGTCCACTGCCTTGTTCCTCTGCGATCTGTATGAGTCACTACTGATACGTTTTCCTGACACTAAGAGAAAAAAGGTTACAGGGCAGGGACCTCCAGCAGATTGACATCCTCAATTCTGTTTCTGTGTGCTGTGTTAAGGGAGGTGTGTTCCTTCCCTCTAATCAGCTCTCACTGAGTTCTGCAGTGTAACTCCAGATCCCTGCCTCCTGCTTTTCAGATCTAAGAAAAGC